CTTGCTCTTTCCTGCTGGTCAGATTAGCCAGCATTTTGTTGGTCTCAGAGAACCCGTTTGAGGGTTTATATTTTTTTATTGTCACTGCTGTACTTTTCTCAGTCGTTTGTTTTTTGTTTTAAATTTTATTCATTTCTTCTTTCTAGATTATTTGGGTTCATTTTATTCTTTTTCAGCTTCTCGGGCTAGACAGTTAATTCATTTAGTTTTAATCTTTCTTATTTTATCATAAAAGCATGTAAGATTAAAATTTTCCTCTACATGCAGCTTTGGTTACATTCCACAGATTTTTAAAAGTACAGTTCTCAATGTTGTACATTTAGAAATACCCTACAATTTCAGTTTTTCTGTCCCCTTTGACTCAAAGGTTATTTAGAAAAGCATTTTTAAATTGTCATGTGCATAGTTTACTTTTTTATTTTTTGATACTTGTTAATTTCTAATTCTATTGCATTGAGAACTGAGACTGTGGTGTGCTTGTTGGAATTTGAGATTTTCTTGTGGTCTAGTGCAAGGGCATTTAAGAAAAAGGTGTTTTTTCTGTTTTTTGAGTATGTATGAAGTGATGCTTACTGTCTTCAAATCCTCCGTAGTTTTCTTTGGAGGGTGCTTGTACCGTCAGATTTTGAGGAATGTACTCGAGATATTTACTGCTCTATTTTTTTGCCTTCTCCTTGTGGTTCTAAGAATGTATTATTTCATGTACTTTATGGTTCTGTTGTTCAGAGTGAAGGTAAAGATTCATGATTTTTGTGTCTTCTTGGAGAAATAGACCTGTTTAGCAGTAAAAATGCCCCATTTTATTCTATTTAGCATTTTTGCTTTTTGTCTGATATTATTATTGACTTTCCTGCATTCTTTTGGTTACCATTTTGCTGTTATAGCTTTTTACCATTTCTCTGATTTCAACTTTTCTTTTTGTTAATTTGTTGTAAGTGTGTCACTTCCAAACAGCATCTGGCTGGGTTGTTTTTTTTCCCCCAACCTAATCGCTTGTCTTAAAATAGGGTAACTGAATTTGTTCACATTCTTGTATTTATTGATTTGTTTGGTCTTACTCTTGTCTTCTTATTTTACATCTTTTGTTTGTGATACTTTTTCTTTCCTGTTTAGTTTCCCTTTCCTAACTCTTGCTGAATTAATTGAATTTTCTTTGCTCTTCTCTCCTCCACACACAGTGGTTTAAAGATCTGTATCTTATTTTTCTCCGAGAAATGGTTACCCTTAAATGAAAAATGAAAGCCCATACTTCTCCACTAATGTCAAGAACTAAATGGTATTTAATTCCCAACAAGAGGAGACCATTATTATCAACATCTGGTTAGATTTGACTGTACCTTTTTCTACTTTTGCTGTCCGTCACTATTTCCTGTGTCTCCTGTCTTGCCCTTTCTTGAATTACTTATTCTGAGACAGTTTTTATTTTGTTGGAGTAATTCCTTGAGTAACTGTTTTAAGAAAAGATAAGTGGGTGGCCTGCTATTTTTAGTGCTTCTCTCTTTGGCTTTGAGACTCAGATGAGTAACAGATCTCAGGGTTGTAACCCTTTTTCCTCAGAGCTCTGTGGTCTTTGCTCTGTTGCCCTCTAGTAGTTAATGATGTGATGTCAAGTCCAAGGTCAATTTGATTCTCAAAATTTTTACACAGACTCTCAGAGATAAGCTGAGTTTATTGCTCACCTGGGTAAGGGGAACCATCACCTCCTCGGAGCCTTGGCGTGTCTGGAGCAGGGAGGCAAGGTCAGGGTTCACGGAGGATTGGACGTTTCCATTAAGATGGGTGTCAGCTTGGGCTTGGTTAGGATTGTGTAAGAAACAAGACTGTCTGGGACTGGTGGAAACAGGAAGAATTTTGAGGCAAGGCAGGAGATTCAAAGAATCTTAGGGAACAAACTGTTGATTGAAGAGATTGTGGTCCCTCAGGACATTTCTGTAATGAACAGTCAAGCCGTTTGCCAGGGCTGGAGTCTCCTGGAAGAAGAAAGTCATGCTAATAAAGACAGTAAGGTGTCAGGGTAGATGGTGTCCGTTCTCCTGTCCCCCTACTTTGGTCTCTTTGGAAACCTGAAGGACTCGCTCATTATTCTTGGATTTCAGGAATTCCACCCAGCCTGCCCTGCCCCACCTCCACAGCCTCTGAGGGAGTTCTCAGGGGTTTGGCAGGTGGGCCTTTCCTCACCCCGGTTGGGTGAGGCTGGCTTAGCTCTGATTAGATTCTCTGTCGTCCCACTTGTCTGCTTTTCCTCAGACTGGCCGGCCAGCTGGTGGTACTCTGGATCTGTTCTCATTTGTACATTTCTCTTTATTTCCGTGGTGTTTGGGGGAGAGGTCAACACGAGGTCTCAGGTTGCTATGTGGAACTTGAGGTGTGTGTAACATTTTCCTGTCACCGGGATGCAGGCGTGTCCTCCCACCCTCCCACCTGCTGCTGGAGGCTGGGAGTGGCACTCAGATGATGTTGGCCTCCCTGAGGGGTGCGAGGGCATCGACTCCCTCCTTCCACCTGACCTCATCATCTCCTTGAGCCACACCCCTCGTCCTGACTGCATTACCTCACTGATTAAAATGATTAGGTGACCTCACTCCACTGCAGGATCGAGTCCAGGCTATTCCATATATCAAGCTCTTTCCCTGGCCAACTCTTCCCTCATGAGCTATCACTGCCCCTCACGTGCAACCATATGGACAGCATGCAATTTATTTAACATTTGGCCAGTTTGGGGTCTCCTGTCTACTTACACTGCTCCCTTTGTTTGAAATATCCCATCTCTCTTTCTCACACATTCAAACACCATCAGAATTGACTACTTTGTTCTTTATGCTGTCTCTATGGAGTAGCTCAGAACCAGCAACACTGCCATGCACTCCTCTGATTCTTTGCCCCTCTTCCAGCCCCCATCTGTGATCCCTTAGAAGGTAGGGGCTGAATCTTTGCCATCTTTTGTCCTAGCAGGCCTGAACCAAAATAAGTACTGAAGATGCATCTGTTAAATGAGTGACAACTGAATTAGGTTCCACAGAGAATTGTTCTACACTGACTGTGTGTGAGACGCCACACCAAGCTTTAGGGGTGGGGGAATGAGTCAGACTGACCCCGTCCAAAGTACGTACAGTCTACACGGACTTCAAGACTCCTGGAGTCTGTGTGCACAGTGAGCATGGCCGTTTTTATTAATAATTGAGATCTACTGGAGGATGTGAGGTCAGATCTGGGGATGATGGAAAACCTCAGAGTGGTGAAGTTTGGATGGTTTGGACAACAGAATCAGGAAATGATAGATGGGAGGCACTGAGCAAGTTCAATCACACCACTTTGTGGTGGTGCGACGCTGCCCTGGGGCGTGGGACAGGGCTGACTGGATTTAATAGCAGCAAGTGTGGCGGGGAGGGGACAGTTGAGGGGCTCAGCTTGCCTGTATGTTCTGTAGGAATCAGCGGTGGGATGTAGTTGCCAAAACGCTAACTATTCCAAGGCTATGTCAATAAAAAGCATGGCGCCCAAGAGAAGGAAGATGACAATGCCTCAGGCCTGTGTGCAGGTTACTGCAGACCTAGATTACTGGGTCCACCCTGTGATAATGTCCATAGTGATTACATGGGCCATACCTCATGCCAGGCACTGGTTGAGGCCCTTTACATATACCAGATCATTAACCTTGGGAGGTACTTGCCATTCTTAGCACGCTTTTCAGGCACAGCAAGGCTAAGCAACTTTCCAAAGCCTTCGAGGTAACGAATAGAAGGCCGGGCCTGGAACCTAGGCGTCCCGGCCCTAGGAGCCACGTCTCAGCCATCACACCAGACTGCCTCTAGCAGACAAACCTGAGTACCGTCCCAAGAGAGCAGCATGGATGTGGCGTACCACGCCGTGCTCAACTAGCACGACCGGGCTTTCTAGATCATAAAGCCGTTTTCTCTCCATCTTCTCATGGACCCTTACAACAGCCTGGCAAGTTGATTGTTAAAAATGGATGCTCACTTAACGTCCATCATCGGTGATCGTTGTTGAGCTCCTGGCCTGAGCCGCGCCTCTTTTGGCCCTGAATGTTCTGTTTTGTTTAGTGATTTGGGGATGCTATGCACTCTTATGTCTATTACTATATTTAATTCTCACTCCTGCCCAAATATGAGTCACTCTTGCAGGTTGTATTAGTTTTCTCTTGCTGTGTAACAAATTACCTCGATCTTAGTGGCTTAAAACGACACTCATTTGTTAGCTCCCAGTTCTATGGGTTAGAAGTCTGGTACGGAGTGGCTGGATTCTCTGCTCAGGGCTAAAATCGAGGTATCCGTAGGCTGAGTTCTCGTCTGGAGGCTCTGGGGAAAATTCTGCTTTCCAGGTTCATTCAGGTTGTTAATAGAATCTAGGTCCTGTGGTTGTAGGACTGTGGTCCTAGTTTCTTGCTGGTTGTCAGCAGGGTTCTCAGCTCCTCAAGGCTGCCCTCAGGTCCTTTCACACAGCCTCTCCATCTTCAAGGCAGCAAGCACACGTCAAACGTTTCTCCTGTTTCTAGTCTCCAGCACTTCCTCTTCTGTGACCAGCCAGCAAAAACTCTGCTTTTAAAGGGCTTTGTGGATTAGGTCAAGCCCACAGAATAACCTCCCTATTTTAAGGTCAACTGTGTCCTATACCGTAACCTAATCACGTGCCTAAAATCCTTCATATCCGCGGTCTTGGGCATTATGCAGGATGTGTAAGCCAGAGGGGCAGGAAACCTTGAAAGTTGTCTTAGAATTCTGCCTTCTTCCTGGTGAAGAAATAGAACCTCAGAGAAGTGAGATGCTAGGTGCAAGGTAGAACATGGTGGGTGCCAGGGCCACCAGGCCACACTGACTTCCCAGAGGAATGGAGATCTGGCTCCTCACCACGACAAGCAGCTTGGGAAGAGTTCGGGGCCTGGGCCCCCTGGGACCAGGCAGAGATTATTCTGTGTCTAAAAAAGGTTGACCAAGCAAACCCTGTGACTGTGTTTTTCAACCATCCCCTGCAGGGTTCAAGGCACAAACCCAGCAGCCTCAACCTAGTTCATGGAGGAGCCTCGAGAGATACTGGCCAGGCAAGCTCTCCCTTCCAGAGGAAAGAGCAGAGCGTGAGACAAGGGCGCTGCAGCAGGGGTGGACATGAACACTGGTTTTCAAAGAGAACAACGTTTTAGTTTCGGTCATCGAAAGTGGTGCCTTCAGCACAGGTAAGAAATGGGATGTCATTGAATATGCTTGCTGGGGGTGCCAGTTTAGTCTTTCTTGCCTGAGCTTGCTAGTGTTGTTCCTCTTTAAATGTATTCTCATTATTGCCTTCCTTGAGGACTTCCAGCTGTCCCGAGCTGGAAGTCCTCGGGACATCCTTGGCCAGGAGTAGAGACCTTGAGTGCCAGACTCTGCCCTCACGCTGTCTGCCCTGAAATGCAGTCTTATCTCCCCAATTCCTGTTTCCATTCTGTCCCTGGCAGTAACTCCTCTCAAGGGACCACAGCCTCCCCACCCGCCAGCCCCACTGTGCCCTACTGCTTTCCAGAGCTCCACCCTCTTCTCTGCCCTCCCCCCTTGGAGGCTCTTTCCTAAAGAGCCCCTGCCCATCCATCCGCTAGTCAGAGGAGCCTGGCCGGCATCTCTCCAGGGCCCTACCTGTTGTGAAGAAGTGAAAGGACTTGGGGTTCTCAGACTGGGCTGCATGTTAGACTCACCTGGAAAGGTTTTAAAAATTCCAATAGCAGGGCCCCACTTCCAGAGATACTGACTGAATTGGCCTGGGGAGGGGCCCCGGCATTGATGTATGTGTGTATATCTGTATACTGTATATATAGGGTCTTCTGTTGCCCTTCAGGTGTGCGTTGTGGTGCAGGTCAGAAGCTCAGGTTGTGGTACAGGCTAGGTGTGTGTTGTGAGCAGCTCTTTGGTGGGGAGTGTGTCTTTGCATGTTTTGTCTGGCTGTGGAGTGCATCAGAATCTCTTGGGGAGTCGTGGGGGGGGGGGTGCCTGGTTAAAAAAAAGCAGATTCCTGCCGCCCCGCCCTGCTCTCTGAATCAGACTTTGGGGAGGGGGACACAGGAATCTGTGTTCTGATTCTGATACGGCCAGGGTCTAGGGGCTCAGGGCCTCTTTCTTGGGGCTCTGGTGATGCTTGTCCTGTGTTTGCGTCTGGGGGCTCAGCTGTGTGTCCCAGGGGGCACTTCCCACCCTGGTGTGCCTGTGCCGCTAGTGGTGCCTCGTTCCCTTCCTTCCCCGCAGACGTTTTCTCACACACAGGGAGGAGGACCGCGCCTCAGGCAGCCCTCAGAGGTGGTATCACTATAGCTGCCTGAGCTGTGGTGGCTGGGCCCAGGCCTCTGCCCACAGTGCGGCCGCACTACGTGGGCCCACTGGACCCAGACCACGGCCAGGGCTCTCCAGTGGAGGTAGAGGAATCATCCCCTGGACTCCGAGGAAGAAGGACTGAGCATTTGGGCCTCATTTTGAGGGGGATGTTTGACGTGGTGCTTCGTAGTGGAGGCTCTGGCACTTCCCAAGGTCAAATCCCAGGTCCAGCATTTACTGGTTTTGTGAGGCATTTACTGGCTTAGGAGGCAAGTTGCTCAGTCTCTCTGCCTTTTCTTTCTCATTTGTAAGATGGGAAGTAGTGGTCCTACCTACCAGGGCTGCTGTGAAGATACAGGTAAGGCCCCTCGAGTGTTGCTGGGCACAGAGCAAGGGCTCACCAACCGTGAGCAGCCCTTCCAACTCAGGCAGGCCGTTGGCTGCCACTCTGCCCTCCCAGTGGCAGCACAGCAATGTGATGTGTCTGCTGTGCTCTGCCATCGGGTCCCAGCATGTGAGTTCCTAAGGGTCAGGGTGAAGTGAGGGGACGGACACTGCACGTGGGGCCTGGGACTTTACAGGCAAGACTGAGTCCTGCAGAAACCCCAGTGGGGCTGGTTTTAGTGCCCCCTTTGTAAAGATAAGCAAGCAGCACAGGGAGGTTCAGTAATTTAAAGACAGTCACACAGCTAGTAAGGAACAGAGCTTCTGGTTACAAAAGACCCAGCAAGATGCACCCCCCCCCCCAAGATACTTCCTGAAGAAAGGCAGTAGCAGCTTCAAGAGTGAGCCTTACCCTTTTTAATAGGAATCGACAGCACTGTAATGAATGGGCCCCCCTTCCTTGGCCTCCTGGGACACCTGGTGCCTCGATTTAGCATTTGTTTCCTTCTGCACATGTCACAGATGGCCGTTTCTGGGTCTCTTCCACTGGCAGTCTCAGAGCAGGGTCTGGATTTATCCAGGTGTGCTGTAGATACTTGAACCAGGCTGGAAGTAGAAACCTCTGAGGGCTGCAAGCAGAGCTACGGGGGAACTGCCATGGGGAGTGCCGATGGGGAATCCACCCCAGACCTGGCATTTGCCCTCCCCTCCTTCACTCCCAAACTCTCTTTTTGTCCATGTGGGCTCTGCCAGCTGCACGGAAGAATCTGCAGAGGATGGGACTGGCCCAGAGGGAAGTGAGCTGTCAGCTGGAGCAAGAATTCTGGTCCCCGCCCCTTCCCGTGCTCTCCCTGGGGAATAAAAGCATCTGTGATTAGTGCGGTGCTGACTCAGTGCTTCTGGAGTGTCCAGGCACTCATGGCCCACTGCTGGCATTGCTTCCCCCAGCCACCAGGGAGGAGGCTGGGATGTGAACAAGGTGGAGGGCTCAGGCCCAGGCCGGCACGCGTGCCAGCCACGAGCCAGCCTTTGGCGGCATTGCAGAGCCCCTGTGCTGGAGAGTCCCATTACCACCATCTGAGGCCTGGGAACAGCTCTGTTTGGAATTATTTGAGGGCAGAGAGAGTAGGAGTCATGGCCCCCCTTTAGTAGGGACCTGGACTGGGACTTTCTCCAGAATAAAAGTGATCTCTGAACGTGACCGTGGGGTGAACCTAATTTGAAAAGGATATGAAAGCATTTTCTTAGCAGCAAAGCTCTCTGTTGGTAGTTTTCAAACTTTTATCGTCTTAGAAGCCATTTTTGAAAGTCCATTCTTGCTTGACTTTGAATGTCAGTATATACAGCAGGTTGAAGTGGCGGTTTATTAATACACATTTATTTTGTAAGTTCATTATAAAAGTCCAGCAGTGACTCTCAAAGCAATGACTCTGCTTAGATGTTTAAAAACATTGAAATCTCAGGATCTGTATTCGGGTCGGCAAACTATACAGCCTGTCACCCAGGCTGCTGCCTGATGTTTGTAAACAAAACTTTATTGGAACACAGCCATGCCATTCATTTCCACGTTATCTATGGTTGCTTTCCCACTCTAGTGGCAGAGCTGAGTGGTTGTGACAGAGACCATCTGTCCCACAAAGCCCAAAATATTTACCATTTGGCCCTTTATAGGAGAAGTTTGCTGGCCTCTGTTCTAGATGATCTCTGTATTTGCTATATCAGCAGGAACATCCAATATTGCTTTTTTGTTTTGTTTTGTTTGGCTTGGTTGCACAGTATTAAGAAAATTCTAAATCATATTAACAAGAGGATGTGAATGGTAACAGATTTCTAACAGCTTACCTTGCCGCCCAGGATGGTCTTCAGGTGGATGTGATGTAGGCATTTGGGAAGGAGTAGGAGGGAATTCTGGTTTGCATCCTGACAGTGTCAAACAACTGCTTAAACTCCTTATTACAACACTCAGACAGGAAGTACACATCATTTATGACATTTTCATGATAATCCACATCGTGCATTCTCATATCACTGACAGCTGTAGAGTCTACTTGTTTGTGTGGTCTTGAGTAAATGTGTATAGTCCTGAATTTAAACAACGTAAAGATGCCCAGTAAAGAGCTACGTCTTTCTAGTTGAAGACACATTTCAATACTGAAGTTCAGGATCTACCCAGGCCTTAGTCTAGGGTCTGCACGAACCAAGTTAAGCTGGATACACCCATTGGCTGTACTCAGTGTGTTACAATGTGCTGTAGAACATGTTTGAATGTGCTGGTCCATTTCCTATAACAGTTTTAATAGGACTCAAATGATATTTTTAGAATAAAATTCTCACTTGACATTTGAAGAACCTCTGAAACACCTCCATAGAACACAATTTGAAAACTGCTCCTTCGGCAAATATTGGTAGTTCTCCTTTCTGTGCTGAAGGATAACGGAGGAGCCAAGGATGCTGCGAGTTGGGATTGGGAGGCAGAGGAAGAAGGAGTGAAAGATGGTGGAGGAGAGAAGTGAGGTGATGCTGTTGACGGTGGAGGGTGTCACAGGTGAGGAGGGGGGTCGGTAGTGGAGAAGGTACGTCAGAAACTCAGAGAAGCCTCGTGAGCTCCTGCAGAAGCTTGAGGTGTCTCCTAAGGACTGTTGGTGACCTAAACACAGCTCTCCAAGGCTGCTGTAATGACTTCCAGCCATCAGCTTGGAAGAAGAGGTCCAGAAGAACATAGGGAGAAATTAAAATATGCACAGAGAAGTGGGGGTGGGGGGTGTGGAGGGAGCATACAGGTTAGTTCTAATCAGCATGCAAAGGGCCTTTGAGGCCACTCAGCAGATCAAGGTAAGGGGGAGGCAGAGGAGAGGGGGCAGCTGGGTCAGCACGCCAAGCCAGGTTTGTGCGGGAGGAGGGCACGAGAGCATGGGCAGTGCTTGTGAGTGACCTGGATGGGGTCGGATGTCAGGGCCCCACGGAGCTAGTGGCTGGGGTTGGGCAGTGGCTTTGGGCATCGAGGCAAAGCCCACAGAGCCAGGAGTAAAACCCAGGGGTCCCGGCTCCCAGGCCGCCTGCCTTCCCTCCGCGGGTGCAAGGAAGGGAGGGGCAGGCCTGGCGGCTTCGGGAGGCTGTGGGCTGGAGGAGGCCTCTCTGGGATAAAAAAGCACCAGTTCTTTCTGAGGTTTTGCTGCTCACCCCATAGAAAGAGAACATTTTTAGATTTTAAAAGGATGACCTCATTTTTTTTTTTTTATATTTACATAGCCCTGTTTGTTTATATAGTCCTTTAAAAATAGCGAATGTGTGCTAAGCTTAGTGCTCTCTCCCACCACCAGTGGCAGAGCCACTGTGTGGGGAGAAACACCTTTTTATCTAAGAGAGGGGTGGCCTTCTTTCTGAGGACAGATGGGAGCAAAACGGGACAGGTAGGAAGTTTCGTGGTTTTTCGTGTCGCTTTTCCAAAATAGCCACACTCCTGCCTCCCACTTCCTGCCCGACTCGACTCGGGGTAGATTTTCTCTTGGAG